CCAAGTTTTTGAAGTTTTTGTTCTCCTCATCCCACACCCCCACACTCAGTTCCCTTGACAAATCCACACATCACACTTAACAGTGGTCAGAGATTGAACTGTCCACAGTAGGTCTTTAGACCCTTTGCAAATAGACTTCTGTCTGGCCTGTCCCCACCAGTTTCAAACATACCCAGACAAACACTCACCCCCTGCAATGTATTGTCTGAACTTTGAATAACATTCATAAGAAACTGACCTTGGGTCTAAGGCTAAAATCATGCCAGGTTTTCTGACAGTCGGGCTGCATTTGTACAAATCAGTTATATGTAGTCAGTTACCTTTTCCTCTCCAATAGCCTGTCAATTCTTCAAGCCAGGAACTGTATCCCCATTTCCTAATATGCACTTGGCAGCTAGGATGTTCCAGTCAATGTTTGATTCTTGTAATTCCACAATGATAGAATTTTGGAAACAACAGATAGAACGGTTTGAGCATAATGAATCTTAGTACATAGCTTAATCATTGAATGTCCATTACCATCCAAAATCTTAGAAGACTATAGCTCTTTGTTTTTGATAAAGAGAAAGAGATACCCTCCCCACCCCACCCCCATTCCTGATACATATTGAATCTTGACTCTAGAAATCGGATTGTCCTGGGTATAAACCTGTTTTGCCACCTATCTAACTATGCGACTTCAGAAACATGACCTAACCTGTCTAAGCCTCAGCTGCAAAATTGACATTCTACTAATTGCAGGATTTATTTTAAGTATTAAATGATGACTAGCATGGGGCTTGGTGTGTAGGAAGCATTCCAAAAATGAGATCCACTTATTCTATATGTTCTTTCCATATGCTCCTTTTTAAAATGGAGAGGCCAAGATTGTTAATGTCCTTTGGGGACACAACTGGAGAAGTGTATTTGAAAGAGAGAGCTGACCATTCTACAACTAGGCCCTAGACTGCAGAGAAGAGAGTGAGATAAGTCATAAACGTGCAAGGTCACATCTTGTTTTTATATAAAATGTTGACATTTTGTTCATTATGGCCTTTTTTGTTTTGAGTCTGCCTTTTCAACATATTGCATTAAAATATTATTTATCTTGATAACCTACTTTTTTGTGCCTTCTTAGATTTTGGCCCAAAGCAATGCTTCATTCACTTGGCCCTAGTCCTGCTCTGCTTACAGCACTTTGTGTCAGTCACACCACAACCTAAACATGAGACCAGAGCAGCCAGAGAAGCCTGTAGGAAAAGACCTGGGATCTCTTCTGAATTTGAACTTGTGCTTTTCACGCACTAGAACGCCTTACTCAGCCTAGTACAAGACTAGAGGAGGGAGTGGACTACAACTCCCAGAAGGCTGCGCGGCGCGGAGCCCTCGCCGATTGGCTGCGCGCCCCCTACACACCCCGCCCCTGCTGTGATGACCCAGGGCAGCGAGTCCCAGGGCTAGTGTGCTACCGAAGTCGGCTTCCTAGTGGAGTCTCGCTCTGGCCAGCAAGCTTCATGGCAGCGCCACTGGTGTCCCGGATGCTGCGGCAGGTCCTGAGGTCCAGCACCCGGAGCTGCAACTCAGGCGCTCCAGTGACGCAGCCCCGCCCGGGGGAGCCCTCCCAATCTGCCATAGAGGTGAGCCCAGGCGCCCGCGTTCCTGGGAGGGGGTGGCCTGGCAAGCTGACCCTGATTCCGAGAGGAACACCCAGGGCCGTCTGAGGCCGCCGCTTCAGGGAGGGACCCCTTGGCGCTTATTTGGGGGTGAAGAGAGGAGTGGAATGATATTCTCTAGATAGACTGCCCGCCTCACCCGATACCCCAACGGTTGGGGGGCGCCCCTTGGGGGTCTTCCTTAAAAACCTCCCTGCCCACCCAGCTGTGCACCCGCTTCCAGGTCTGAGTTGCTACCGGAGACGGGGAGCAGGTGGGTAGGACTTTGGGTGCTATGAGATGTTATTAGTTCCTCTCTCAGCCCTGCCTCACACTCAGCCCCTTCCTTAAACATTATCCTCCCTATCCCCCAGTGCAGGTTGTCTGTGTATGAGCAGGTGTTCTTGTGACACCCTGCTGTAGAGTGTGACACTGACTAAAAATGTCACCTTGGTGCCACCGGTAGTCAGCTGTCACTTCTGTAGTCACAGGGCTCTGACTTTTTTTGTTTCGTTTTTATTACCCTGAGGAGGGTTCAGCCTCCTTCTAGAGCAGCACGGAACAGGACCTGGGCCCTTCCAGGGTAGGGATTCTGGTATCCCTTTAGGGCTGGGAGAGGCCCCCTCAGCCCTTGACAGCACCCCTCAGAGTGATTCGTAGCACAGCAAGTGTTAAGGCTCTTGTGCTCATGGAGCTAGGGAATAATTTGGGGGAGAAGCAGCTCTTCTCATGTGTAGACCCCTTGGTCATTCTTTTCCCCTGTCCCAGCACAAGGCTTCATATCCTGGATCCATTAGCTCATGATCCCCTCCCCCACCACTGTCCACTGAGGGGAGGGCCTCAGCTTCACTTCCTTTCCCCCTCTGGGATCCTCAGAGAAGCAGGCTGCAGTGCTGGGAAGAGTTTTTTTTCAGTACCCTTGAACTCTGAACTCCATTGAGGGGAGAAACAGGAAAGCAAAGATTGCCGAGAGATCTTTAAACAGTTCAGAAAATGGAAGTTTCTTCTTCCTCCAGCCCCTAATTTATTTTGTACCCAATTTATTTTGTAAGTCATGTGAAGTGAGTGGAGTCTGTGTTTCAGAGGGGAGGCCTTATTGAAGTTAACTTCTCTGGAGTCATGAGCCATAAAGTAAGGGAGCAGGTACTCAAATTCTAGAGCCTGTGCTCCTGTTTATTCCCTTTACACTGTCGGGGGAGCCGTAATTAGCAGGTCAGAACATGGACACTGGAGCAGAATGCCTCGATTTGAATCCCACCCTACTACTTACTGGGTGTGTGAACGTCACCCCTCAGTGCCTCAGTCTTCTTGTCTGTAAAATGGGAATAATAGTGTCTATTCCATCAGGTGGTTATAGGGATTAAAAGAGTTAATGTACATGTCAACTATAAGTGAATATATATATATATATATATATATATATATATACACACACACATAGTCATAGGATGTGGAGTATAGTGTGGGAGTGGAGTCAAGAGAATTATAATAGATACGTATGATATTGGGGGGAAATGGGGCAGCGGATTGGGGGAGGGGGGTTGTCACTTCGAGGGGTAAAAAGTATATCTAGTGCACTGTGTTGTACAGCTGAAACTAATTCTAAAATATGTGTATTTCATAATAAAAAATAATTTAATATAAAAAATATATATAAAAAAGGGAAAGGGATTAAAAAGTACAAATTGGTAGTCATGAAATAGTCATGGGGATGTAATGTACAGCATAAGGAATATAGTCAGTAATATTGTAGTAACTATGTATAGTGTCGATGGGTACTAGATTTATTGGGGTGATCACTTCGTAAGTTACATAAATGTCTAATCACTACATTGTACACCTGAAACTAATATAATGTATGTCAACTGTAATTAAAAAAACATCATTAAAAAAAAAAGAGTTCATGTACATACACGCTTAGAACAAAGTCTGGCACATGTAAGTGCTGTGTTATGTATATGTTTGTTGTAATTATTATTTTTGCGGTCATTGGCTGTGTCCCATTAGTCCCCTCCCATATGGACATTCAAGCTTGACCTCCCATCCTGCGTGCTCCCCACTAGGGTTATTCTCAGCAGACAGGTTGCTCCTTGAGTGCTGGGTGGTCCCCTGGCTTTCTAAGTATTTCTCCATATTGCTTAACACGCTGCTCTGCAAGCAATGCAATCAGCAGATATCTTTGGCTGTTTGAAACCCAACTAGTGAGGGGGCACATGGAATAGTAGAGCACTGGACAGGGAGCCCCAAGTTTTCACCCTTCCTCTGCCTCCAATTTCACGTGGCTCCTGGGGCTGTTAACTTGCCCTCTCTTCATGTCTTTAAAGCCAGGGGGTTGGGCCAACCCATCTTTATACAGTCGGGAAGGGCACAGGATGTCCTTAACAGAATCTCAGAGGTGAGACAAGTCTGGAGACATATATGTTCAGCCTATTCCCAGAGCTTGCCGGTTGGCAAGAGCAGGGGTGAGGGCATCTGAGATCCCCTACCCCGCTCTCCCTTCCTGAAAGGTGCCTTTCCCCACACCCCCCACAGGGCCCTGCTCCTCTGGTTTGGGATGGCGGGGGTGCTTGGAGAAACAGAGGGGAAAGCCACTGGGTAAATAACATTTTCAGTGTCAGGGTGTGGGGGTGAGGTGTGAAGTGGAAGCTGGCTGTGAGGGCAGTGGAAAGGAGGCCTTGGGTTTGGCCCAAGGTCAGGTTGCGGAGCTTCTATAGGTAGAAAGGTTAAGTAGTGCTGTGTAGATAAGTGGGGAGGTGGGAAGGGGAGACACAGCTACCTGCCATCCTGATTGGGGTGGCCAGTCTACTCGGCAGGGCTTACTCCTGTCCAGAAGCACTACACCCCTCTTTCTGCCTCTCAGGCTCCACGCAGGCTTTGTTGGGGTGACAGAGGGTTGGCCTAAGGTCCTAGGCCTGCAGTTTTGGGGCAGGCAAGAGAGAGGGTCTCTGTGCAAGGCAGAGGCACCCAGCTGTTCAAAGGGCCAGAAAGAATAGATGTTGGAGAGGGGGTTATGGGGGAAGGACCTGGGTACAGGAGGAGCTACGAGGGGACAGCAGGGCCTGGCCTGAGGTGGGAACATACAATGGGAAAGAAGATGGAGAAAAAGTAAGGGATTATGTTGACTCCCAACCTGCCCAGCTCCTCAAAATCTTTACTTCAGTAGAGTGTGACACTCTTTGCTGGGAGCTATAGGTTTGAAGACCCCACCCTAAGGGTGGGGAAGGAGTTAGGCCTGGGGCTGGGCACTTGGCTAGGTCCTCTCACTTAGCAGAGTTTGATTTTGAGGCACCCCAGGGGCACATCATCGCAAATAGCAGGTAAATCAGGGCCACTGACATGTGAGTTGGGCATGTGCTTTTTCTCCTGCACAACTTGGCTACTCTGTTACACTCCAGCTATTTGGGGTCTGGCCTTTATCATCGAAACTAAATTTCCAAGGTTAGTGACGAACCACTAGGGGAGGCACTTTGAGGGTAGGGTCTCTCAGTTAACTAACTCCTTTTGGTAAACTCCTTCCCCACCTCAGTCTTCCTGAGTCTTCACTGGGTAGGTAAATAGGAGATAACCAGTAACAAAAGGTAAGCAGCTGGTTATTAGCTCTAGTATTCGTGGTCCTTGGGGGGGGTCCAGACCACACTGTCCTGCTCTGAGCGATGTGACACCAGTTCCGAAATGCCAGCCATGACCCATCTGCCATTAAGTAGGACTGGAAGGCCAGGGTCTTGTAGGACTGGAGAAACTTACCAGAGTGGGAAAGTAGTCACATCACACACAACTGGTGCACCTCGTGAATATTTGATGACTGAAAATATGTAAGTAGGAGTGACATTAAGAAAACGGCAGCAATCACCTATTTAATACCCTATGGCAGGAACACCTCCGCCTTGAGTTAGGTAGGTTTATTATCCATACTTTATGGACGAGGAAACTAAGGCCTGTAGAATTTAGGTGACTTGCTCAGCTGCCAGTTGGTGACTGAGCCAAGATTGTAATTCAGGTTTACCTGCCCCCAAAGCCAGAGCTCAGAACCACAGCAACTCCTCCCAGAGCAAAATGGCATCTGGTTCTGAGGTCGGGCTGCAGAGTGGGAATCTGAAGCACTTCCCACAAACAAACAACAAACCAAAGCAGGTCCCATCCCAGAGCAACCGAGCGAGAATCTTTGGTGGGGCTCTGGCATCAGGACTACTTAGAAGCTCTTCGGGTGTTTTTGATGGGCAAGCAGAGAGGAGAACCACTGTACTAGGCTAAACCACCTGACAGGAGAGCCCAGCCTGGAAGTGAACGACGGCCGCCGTGTAAATGGGCTTTGCACACAGTGCTGTTCTCTTTGGATTAGGGGCCTGCCTATTTGTTTGTTGACACAGTGGTTTGACACTTAATACCAACATACGGTGTAGACACCGGGATACCAATCAGGCAGGAGGGCTTCCCACACGGTGGGGTGGGGGGGGACCGCCCGGTCCGGGCTGAGGCCCTGGGAATATGAACAGCTGAGAGCATTCTATTGGGTTGTCGGAAAAGTTATGATGTATTTTTGCAACGAAAAACAGAAAAAATACATCATAACTTTTCCGACAACCCAATACTTCTGACATGGCCCAGCCCTTACGGGTGAGGGAGACGCATTGTTTACTCTGGTGGTAATTCTCTCTGGATCCTGGACTCCTTTCACTGACACTGATATTTTTTACTCTAGGGGATTGAAGAGAAAGGAAAAAACTAGAAAAACAAAAGTAAAAGAGTCAGTGTGGGAAGAGAAAAAAAGACAGGGATGAGGCTTGTTAATATTCAAGTGATGAGTTTGCAAGCCTGGCAGAGAGAGGGAATGAGAGAGAGAGAGAGAGAGAGAGAGAGAGAGAGAGAGAGAGAGAGAGAG